TAACGTATTTGAGCATGGCTTTTGATAGAGGACTTAGGCTTCTGTACCCTAGCTCATGCTCTGTGGGGTGGAACTCCTTCATTGGATACAGCCTCGCATTTGGCTCTGCAGAGGGCAGCTTCTCTGCTATCATATCGCCAAAGACCAAACGAAAGAACCTCTGTAGGATTAGATTTGGATGATTGAGGTCCTCTTTGGCTTTCTTTTGTGCCTTGACCTTTGATTTCTCACCCCTTTGAGTAGCACACTTCTTTTTTATTAAGCCCACCATATCCTCGAAGATGAGTTGTGCGTAATCAAGGGGCAGATTGAAGTAGATTCCATATACAATGGAAAGCATGGCATGTGAGTCTTGGTCATGGCTGCCGACCTTCCCTGTTAGACAACAATTAACTATCGAAAACAGAGTATTCCAAATTGGGGGAAGGCCTTTCCTTTTGAATTCAGTCCTTTTAATGATTTTTGTCTTAGCTGTGTAGGAATGAAATTCAAGGAATTCAATCAGTTCGGCATCTGTAGGTGATGGAGCGAAGGTATCCAAATTCAGATTTGCCAAGCATGGTAGGTGCAGGGCTGTGCGCAGGGTGGTGGCATTCAGGTCCATTGGAATAAGCGATTTGACAGTAGGGTGTGAAGCATAACCTACTCTGCTTAATCCAGAATTGTCCAGGGTAGTAATATAAGAACTGAGTAAAAATTGGGTAATATATGTTTCTGGGGTAGGTTTAGTTGCTGAGAGAGCATAGTATAAAGGATGGTTGCGAAGGATTTCAATGAGAGGATATGTGAATTTAGGGAAGCCAGATGGAGAGGGAGCGAAAAAGTAGTTGTTGGGTTTCTTTACCAGGACCACTCTCTCATATCGATTTTGGAAAAACGATAGGGCATGAGAAGTGAGTGCCTGTGATTGATTTACCTCGTTGTCACTAGGATTATGTTCAGATTGAGCGGAGGCGGATGAACTTGAAGATATTGTTGCAGGTTCGGTCGGAAAGCTTGAGGTTCGTCGGAGTATAAGGAGTAATGTAAAGGTTTACGTTTTGGGGGGAAGGGGTATTTATAGTGAGGGATTTTGAATGTAAACCATTTAATAGGTGAAGAGGCGTGATGAGTGGCTTTTTGGAAGGACGAATCAAAATATGACACGTGGTTTGGGAAGACGTACGATTGATGATGTGCGCCCCTGTTTCTGACACGCCCGTGATTAACTGTAACCCTTATCCACAGAACCACGCGCACCATATCAATAATAGAGAACTATAGAAGAGAGTTATGTCAGAGGCCTAAGGGTAACAGAGCCTCTGTGATATGTGCGGGGCCTTCTAACATGTTACACATTTATTTACCTAAACGGTTTGAAAATCCTCAGAGAGATGAGTACTTGCTCAGTTCAGATCCACAGAGCCTCTAATAGAAGCCCCAGAGGTTCTGATGAGTTGACCTCTGAGATCAAGATACTTTAAAAGTTTTGGCACCTTTTGAGGTTTTGATTTTCAAAACAAAAACTCCCCCTATGAGCCAGCTTCCATGGCTCCCCCTCAAAACAAAAACATTTAAAATCCTAAGAAGAAGTATCGACAGAGRATHYGWTCAAAGAGCCTCTGAGAGTTATCACAGAGGATCTGTGAAAAGACTTCTGTGATGAAAGACATTTTTCTTCTTCAATAGGTTTTATTCTTTTTCAAGCACATACTCCCCCTCAATCCTTGCAAGTCTCTGCAAGAAAAACCTATTAACTATGAACACAACTGAAGGTTAATCAAGAAATAAAACTATATACAACAAGAGATTATTCAAAAAAAAAACTTTATACAAAAATAAATAAACAATAAGACATACAACAGTTGAGATAACAGAACCTCCTTCTTGTTTTAGGAATGATGACAGAAGCTCTAGGGTGCCAGTCATATGTCTCGAGCATCCTGAGTCCASGATCCAAGTAGACACATGCTGCTGCTTCTGCATTTAGAGAACGTTTAATTTGGGTACCCACTTCCAATTGGGTCCCTTATCATTAGCCTGTTTAAASTATGMCATAGCATCTTTTGATTTGGTCTTATTGTTCTTAGAAGAAGAATTGCCAATTTGTCTATTGTTCACCCCAGATTTATGGTTCTTAGGGTGAGAGACTAGACAGGAAGAATGGTGAATATGATTAGAAAGAGCATGCATAATATCGAAACATCCACAAGAGGTAACATTGCAAGAAGCTTTCTTGAATTTTTTATTAAAATATCAAAGAGGGGTATAAAATTTTTATTTTTAGATCCCCTCTTTGGTTTTCCAGCTTTTACAGAGACAGAAGYAATGTTAGATTGAGGCCATTTTCTCAATTGTTGCCAAGTGTAATTTGGTCTTTGAGTTGCAGAGGAAGGCATTGAGAGTTACTTTGACTTTGACTTTCTTTCTTTCTTTTCTCAAGATCAATATCAGTTTCTACAACTTGTGKAGGACTTTCTTCATGATCTGAGGCAAATTCATGCTTAGAAGTATCATTTTCAGAGAGCTCTATGACAAAATCCTTTTTACAGAGAGACTCATTTTTAGAAAGCTCTGGGAGATTAGAGTTAAAATTTGTAACTTCTGTGATGTGTTTTGGAAAAAATTCAAKAGCCTCTGAGGATAATTTTCTCTCAAGAGGATGAATAGTACACACAAAAGCACAGTCTTCTTGAGTTTCTGGTTGTCCAAACTTAAAAATTCCTATMTDACYYTGTCTCATAAATCTCCTTGGAATGGAATCCTTCTTTTCAGAAGGTGAGAAAGAGTCAATATAGTCTTCAAAAGCAACATTTTCCATTGTTAAACAAGTTYTTGTGTCTGGAGCAACCAACAACCTTCTTCTTTTGAAAATGGATTTAGAATTCGGGATGTTACTTTTAAGATTTTTTGAAGATCTGAAGGTATTCTCAAGAGTTTTGTTAGATTTAAAATCTGGTCTGTTGTCAAATTCTGACAAACCCAGACCTATTCTCCCCATGTTAACTTTTATCTTTTTATTAACATTTTGAGGCTCTTGAAACTTTTTTATTTTGAGCTCTCTGTCAAGAACATCTTGGTGCAAAAATTCTCTTTCTTTTTGGAAGAATTATTTGACAGAAGTAACATTGCATTTCTCATGCTCTAACTTCCTTAACTCATCAATCTTGTTTTTTAACTCCTTTTGAATTTCGGCAACCTTTTCTTTTGAAGAATTTTCTAAACTTACAAAGTTTTATTGAGCATCTTCGAACATTTTAAAAAATCTGTTTCTTTCCTCTGTAAGAAGAATGACTTCTTTTTCACAAAGAGAAAGTTTTTCTTTAAGCTTGTAATGTTCCAAATGACATGAATCAATTGATTCAGAAGAGTAAGAAGTGGAAACCTCTTGGTCATTTAAGTAAGAGGAGTCTGTGTCAATATTTGCCATCCCACAGAAGATCTCATCCTCTATGTCTGACAAAGATTCATCCTCCTTAGCCTTGAAGCTATGATATTCATCAATACTAATGGCTTGGTTGTTCTCGAGAGTCTTCTTCCCTTCTTCGATCTGTTTTTCCAATTCTGCCCAAATGTCCATAGACATATGGCAGTGATCAATACATTTAAAGATCTCATGTGGTATAGCCATGATCAACATCCTTTTGCATTTGCTTTCCAATTCCATTAATACCTTTTCATCATCGTTCCAGTTTGCGATTGGTTTGGGCTCATAGTGCTCAGAACTTCAGGGGTTGTACCAGTAGCTGGAACTCTTGGAATTAAATTCATTGGCACATAAGGAGGATTGTAGAGAAATTCACAAATTCTGGGGTGAATTCCCTCCAAAAAGTTGATCATGTGCACCTTCCATTGCGGATATTCCTCACGGCTAAGCGTGGGAGGCTTTGATTGAGATCCAGTACTCATGAACGAGGTATTAGCCAAGTTCGCCATTGAAATTGGAAGAAGAAAAATAAGAAAAAGATGAAACTGATTTAATAGAGTGAAACATGGTAAACTGAAGAAAACTGGTGTTCTAGAAAATGCAGATTAATACCAAAAACA